GCTGCTGGAGCTGCTGGTTCTGGTGCAGCTGCGCCGTCACGACTGTTCTTCGCTCCGCCGTCTCCGTCGTCTCTACCGCCGTCTGCCTCTGTTCTTCGTCAGGTTCTTACTCTTCCGTCGTCTACTGGTCTTCCGTTACAGTCTGGCTCACCGCTGCCTGCTCCTTCTCCTTACACTGAGCTGACCGGTAGTCCAGCTGAGCGTCGTGAGCCTGCGTCGCGTCCTGTTTCGCCTGTTCGTCCTGGTCGTACCGGTCGTCGTGTTCCTCGTTCGCGCCAGCCGGCTGTCCCCGGCGCACACCTCGTAGTCCGTCGTCCTTCCTCTGCTCCGCAGCCTGTTCCTCTGCCGTCTCCCCCTGCGTCCTCTCTGCCTGCCGTTCCGGACCCTGAGTCTGACCGGTTTCGTACTGAGCACCCTACTGTCACGCGTCTCCTAGCCACTGTTATCACTGACCCGTCGTTTGAGTCTACTGCTGCGTCTGCCTTGGTCGCTGAGCTTGTTGACTTTGCTGCTGCCTGTCGTCTAGACTACGTCGCTTGTCTTGTTGCTGAGTCTGAGTCTGTCTGTCCTCCGTCCGTCGGGGGTGAGTGTGCTCTTAGCACGGACGTCCTTGAGGACAGGCAGGAGGAGTTCCAGTGTCTTGCTGCTGCTTTACCTCATCTTGTGTCCTCGCTACTTGCCCCTGAGGGAGACCCGGATGCACCAGACATCCCGACTCCGCGCTCTTACGCAGAGGCGATAGAGGGTCCCTACTCCTCTCAGTGGCAGGCAGCCATGGACGCAGAGATGGCTTCCTGGAAGTCCACAGGCACCTACGTTGACGAGGTTCCCCCACCTGGGGCGAACATCGTCAGTGGCATGTGGATTTTCAGGGTGAAGCGGCCGCCGGGTTCTCCGCCTGTCTTCAAGGCGCGTTACGTGGCTCGAGGCTTCAGTCAGCGAGAGGGAGTTGACTTCTTCCAGACCTTCTCCCCCACCCCGAAGATGACCACTCTTCGGGTGCTGCTGCACGTTGCTGCTCAGCGTAACTACGAGCTTCACTCTCTTGACTTCAGCACAGCTTTCTTGCAGGGCAGCCTGCACGAGGAGATCTGGCTGCGCCGCCCCCCGGGCTTCACTGGGTCGTTCCCTCCTGGTACCCAGTGGAGCCTCCGGCGGCCGGTCTACGGTCTCCGCCAGGCGCCACGTGAGTGGCACGACACACTGAGGACTACGCTTGCGGCTCTTGGGTTCGCGCCTTCTACTGCTGACCCGTCGTTGTTTCTGCGCACCGACACTTCACTGCCGCCGTTCTACATCCTCGTGTACGTCGACGACTTGGTTTTTGCCACTGCTGACACTGAGGCTCTCGCCCACGTGAAGTCGGAGCTGCAGAAGAGACACACGTGCACAGACTTGGGTGAGCTGCGCAGCTACCTTGGCTTGCAGATCACCCGAGACAGAGCACGTCGCACCATCACCTTGACTCAGTCACACATGGTGCAGCAGGTCCTTCAGCGCTTCGGCTTCACCTGGTCTTCAGCACAGGCCACTCCTCTGGCTACAGGTCACACGCTCTCAGCTCCACCTTCGGACGAGTCCGTAGAGCCGAGTGGTCCTTACCCAGAGCTAGTCGGCTGCCTCATGTACCTGATGACTTGCACTCGACCTGACCTCGCGTACCCTCTTGGTCTCCTGGCTCGCTACGTGGCTCCTGGTCGGCACCGACCTGAGCACATGGCTGCTGCTAAGAGGGTACTGCGTTACTTGTGCAGCACATCAGGCATGGGGCTAGTGCTTGGAGGGACGAGCCCAGTTGTCCTCACTGGGCACTCAGACGCTTCTTGGGTTGACGACCTGGCTACTCAGCGGTCGTCACAGGGTTACACCTTCAGCCTTGGCTCTGGTTCAGTTTCGTGGCATTCTACACGCTCGTCTTCAGTTCTCGGCTCCAGTTGTGAGGCTGAGATCTACGCCACCGCCATGGCTGCACAGGAGTTACGCTGGCTCACCTACCTGCTGACTGACTTGGGAGAGCAGCCTCGTTCTCCTCCAGTGCTGTACGTTGACAACAAGGCAGCCATTGCCTTGTGTGAGGAGCACAGACTGGAGCACAGAACGAAGCACATTGCTCTGCGTTACTTCCTGGCTCGAGAGTTGCAGCAGCGAGGCCAGCTTCGTCTTCGCCACGTGGCCACTCGGGCGAACACTGCTGATATATTCACCAAGGCACTTCCGTCTGGTGATCATCAGCGCTTTTGTACTCTGTTGGGCCTTGTGCCTACGCTTCCACACTTGCTGTAGTCTCTGCTTGTATTGTGATCTGTACATATATATGTATATGCATGCTGGTTCTTGCTAGGTTGCCATCACTGTACTGTTATTGCTGCATATATATCTCTGCATGTGAACTGGCCCTGTGGCCCTTTGCTTGTGCTCGGAATGCGTGGTGACGTTGTGATCCACCCTGAGCTTGTTTTGCTTCTCTTGACTGGTCGTTTGACCCCTTGTTCTCCCCCACTTTGCCTATGGGGGTGTGTCAAACTATATGTGTTGCATATTGTCTAGGCTGTAGTGGGTAGCCCATATGGGGTACAACCCAATTAGGGTTTACTACTTGTACTCCTGCATCCTGTTAGTTCACATCATTCCTGCTGCTAGATTCTAACAGGTACTGCACAGCGGCGACCGTTTTTCCTTCTACCGCCACCGTCGTCTCTGCCACCGCCTGACTCGGTGCTTCGCCAGGTTCTTAGTCTCCCGTCTTCTACTGGCCTTACTCCTCCCTTTGTCGCAGCCATAGTTACAGCCAAATTCCTCGCTGCCTGCTCCTTCTCCTTACACTGAGCAGACAGACTCTTTTACAGAGCGTCGTGAGCATGAGTCTCATACTGCCTCGCCTGTTCGCGCTGTTCGCACTGGTCGTCGTGTTCCTCGTCCGCGTCCTCCTCCTGTCCCCAACACTCTTACTATGGCACTTCGTCATTCCTTTGTTCCACTGCGAGTTCCCCTGCCGTCTCCTTCGGCGTCCTCTCTTCCTGGCGTTTCGGACCCTGTGTCTTACTTGGTTCGTGCTGCCAGCCCTACTGTCACACGTCTCCTAGCCACTGTTGTCACTGACCCTTCGTTTGAGTCCACTGCTGCGTCTGCCTTAGTTGCTAAGCTTGTTGACTTTGCTGCTGCGTGTCGTCTCGACTACGCCACTAGTCTTGTTGCTGAGTCTGAGTCTGACTGTCCTCTGTCTATTGGGGATAAGTGTGCTCTTGGCACGGACGTCCTTGAGGACAGGCAGGAGGACTTTGAGTGTCTTGTAGCTGCTGTACTTCATTTCGTGGCCATGCTGCTTGCACCTGAGGGAGACCCGGATGCACCAGACATCCTGACCCCGCGCTCTTACGTAGAGGCGATTACGGGTCCCTACTCCTCTCAGTGGCAGACAGCCATGGATGCAGAGATGGCATCCTGGAAGTCCACAGGCACTAATGGATGCATGAACTGATGTGGAATGGTGATTTTTTTAATATAAGTTAAGCTACACCGTGTACGGAAAGGTCATGTACACTTTAGACTGTATTTAAAATTCCAAGCTTTCTCGTACAGTTATTCTGTAAGTTTGACTAGGGTGCAATGAACGACGTTTTCAAGTGCTGATCTCCCAAAGTCTACCGAAATTTGAATGAACAAAACGAGAGCCATTCGGCAGTGTTTGTGCGTGTGGCTGTCTAGCTTGAAAATATTTTTATGTGTTTACTCCATAGATACGTTATCTCTTGATGAAGCAGTTCATGATCCAAACGAAACCAGTTGAACTGTAGTCCCGAATAGCGAAGTCCGAAGCTGACGGTCAGGCGGTTTCTCCTGGGAGTTGAACAGAAAATGTACATTTCTTTCCTCTACACCGCGACAGGAAATTGCAATTCAGGTTCGGACGCAGCGCAGGCCTCTTGATTGGTGACATTACCGAGGTTAAAAGCGAACAATCGAACCCCTAGAACTTCGAAACGATTGGTTGACTACCCTCCAATATTAGAATCCTTAGGGAACACAGCAGTCGAGTTCTACCTTCGTGGTTCACCCCATCCAAACCAGCAAGAGCAGCAATGAAGGAAATGGCGGGATTGTGAGTGAGAGGTGATCAGAAAGCAGAGTCGAACAAGCCGGAGAGCAACGGCAAAAACTGAGCAGATAGCAGAGAAGAGAGGCGCCAAGCAAGAGATCAGAATTGCTCCAGCAAGATAGCAACCACCATCTATTACCTTCGGGAAGTTATTATCCCTAACATCATCGAAGCAAGCGTACTTGCTTCCGACCCTTTTCCCTGGCTTATCTGAGGTAGTATTATGGCGTTTTCGAACATTAATAGCCTTCCTGACGAGCTACTTGTTGCCATTTTCTGGCCTTCAAAGCGAATCTTCTCTCGCGAGTCTTTCGATAAGGCCGTTTGGGCCTCCGTGCGGCCTCCCCCGAGGTTCATTCGCGAAGATCTAGACGAGGCATGCTACTAGCAGAGCGAGACGCTGTTTCCAGCTCCTCCTCTTCCTCCAGCATTAGCCGACGCCGCGTACAATCTTCTCCTCGCGTCGATCTGCCGCCGCTGGCGTCGCCTGGCGGAGCGCCACGTCTCTACGCTCCTCGTCAAGGAGAACCGCGCCGTTTCTCGCGAGGATCTCGGCGCTGCGATCGCGTGCTTCCCCAACCTTTCGCACCTCCATCTCAGCGACGGCAGCGCGCAGCCCATCGACGACGCCTTCCTCGCGCACGTCGCCGCGTGCTGCTTGAAGCTGACGGCGTTCCACCTGGGTAGTGCCATCGTGCCGCAAACCTTCGAGTACGACTCACCTGGGGAGAACGACCCGGCGGGGAAGGCCTTGCTCACGCCGGCCGGCTTCGACGCGTTCTTCCGCGGCTGCACGCAGCTGGAGCACCTTTCGCTGGGCTGCCTGCATGCCGATTTCGGGTTACCAGCTTCGCTCTTCCAGCTCGTGCACCTGCGATCTCTCGCGCTCGCCGATCTGTCGGCGATGACGACTACACACGTGCAGAACTTCACCTCTCTCGCGGCGCTCGCGATCAACACGGCGGTGTGGGACTTTGACGACCTCGAGAGCCTCGCGCTCCTGCCGCGCCTCGCGTCTCTCTCCATAACGGAAGAAATCACGCTCTTCCAAGCCAGCTCGCGCTCTCCTCCCTTCTCCTTCGCACGCCTATCGTCGCTCACGTCGTTGGATCTAGGGTTCAGCCCCTGCCCACCGTTCGATCGGATGTTCCCTGCAGAGTCCCCGTGCTGCCTGCTCGAGCGGCTGTCGCTCTACCAGTGCGACGATCTCCACGCTCTCCCGGGCGACATTAGCGAGCGCCTGCCGAGCCTGCGCGAGCTGAGCATCAGCATGTGCCATGCCTTGCTGGAGCAGCCCGAACAGCTCACCTCGCTCACAGCCCTGCGCTCCTTGACCCTCGCCGAGTGCGCGTTCCGCGGCCTGCCGGAGCGCTTCGGCCACATGCCTTGTCTCACAACGCTCGTGCTGCACAAGCTGGACACCCACTTCCCCGCCTCGCTCATGCGCCTGCACTCCCTCGAGACTCTCATCATCACCCACTGCGCGACCCTAGCCGAGCTGCCTGACGGGCTGGGCGGCCTCACATCGCTCAAGCGCCTGTGCGTGGCGGAGTGCCCCTCCGTGGTGCTGCCAGGCGACGTGGGCCAACTCACCAACCTGCACACGCTCTTCCTCAAATCCTGCTCCGCGCCCCGCCTGCTGCCGCCCTCCTTCACTCAGCTGGCTGCACTCGCACGGTTGGAGCTTCACGAGTGCGATCTGGCCGAGCTGCCAGAGGCCATGGGGGGGTTGAGACGCCTGCGGGAGCTGTACCTCCTCTCCTGCCCGCGGATCCAGAAGCTTCCAGAGTGCGTGGCAGCGCTGCTGAACCTGCAAGCCCTCGTGGTGGACGAGTGCAGCAGCCTGTTCTCCATCCCCACGAGCCTCATCAATCTCACGCGGCTAAAGCAGCTTGAGCTGACCAGCTGTGCGCTGCTGAGAACGGCTCCGGAGTGCCTGCCGGGGTCGCTGGAAACGCTTAGGCTGGGGAGTTATCAGCAAGTCACACATCTGCCGGGCACCTATGCTCTCTCCCGCCTCAACGCTGTGAGCTTCTACAATGTGATCTTCCCCTCTGCAATGTCCCGAAGCCTCTCCTCACTGGAGCACTTGAAACTCATGTTGGCATGTGAGGGCGAGTTCCCGTTCCCGTTGGCAGACCTGCCTCGCCTCCGCACCCTCACGCTCATCAGCACTGGCGTTGTGAGGCTCCCAGAATTTTCTAGCGCCACTTTGCAGGAGCTGCGTCAGCTGGAAATACTCATGCCTGAGTTGACGGAAATCCCAGCAACTATCGGAGCTCTCCAAAAGCTCACATACCTGGAGATCAAAGCTCCCAAGCTGCCTTCCCTTCCCAATTCAATCGGGGCACTATCCCGACTGGGCAAGCTGCAACAGCCCCGCGCTCACGCACCTCCCTGCCTCCCTCACGCAGCTGGCCTGTCTGCGTGAGCTGCGTGTGCGCAAGGCCGCCATCACATGCCTTCCCACCAACTTTGCCTGCCTTAGCCGGCTGCAGGTGCTGGACCTGGAGGGGTGCAAGCAGCTGGAGGCGCTGCCTGAAGACGTGGGCGAGCTGAAGCTGCTGGACCGCTTGATTTCCAGCGGGTGTGACAGATTGTGCGACCGTGAAGGCAGGCTTCGCGTCGCTGGAACACGGTCTTCATATCGGTGGTTCTAACTTATAATTGGGATAATTGGGAGACCTACTGGTAGATATATATATTTTTTCTGTTCACCGAAACGATAATGTTTAGACTAGGCAAGAGTTTGAGCAAGGAAAGGGGGTCACTAAAGGTAAAAGATACATTGACATAGGATAGGCAGGAGGGTGTACCACCAATAGTAAAATGCAATAGTACACTACAATCTACACTGCAAACACTTCTACAGAATCATATTCTAACACCACATTCCTATTCGGTCCGTAACATTCTCCTGTTCAGTACTTTGACATTGCCTACCAGAGTGTGCATGTTGTGCCCTTTCAACATCCCAAATCTCCCAACACAAACTGGTGTCAAATGGAAGCTCAAAGCCGTGCAGATCTCTGTGTCCACCCCACACTCGGTTGTAGGTGAGGTTATAAGATTAACAGAAGGCCTTATTAGGCAAACATGGCTATTCTACAACGCACATCTAACCTAGCGTACTTGCACAACGAAGAAGCAACACCGGAGCCATATAGTGGCTATAGTTTTCCTAGTGCCCACGCAGGGCGATGGGAGCCGAGACAAGGCAGGGTGGCGGCGCGAGTGCGCGTATCAGTTTCCCTTGGAGAGCTTGAGCAGCGGCGAGCCTCCCCACAGCACGGTGCGGTTGGCCAGCGTGTTGAACAAGGACGCCGCCGCCATGTACAGCGCTGGCGCGATCGAAGGGGGAAAAGGGGGGAAGGACGGGGGGGCGAGGGGGAGAAAGCGAGGAGGGAAACTGTGAGCAGACGAGGCGGAATGCCATTGGCCTGAGAGGCGGATGGTATTGGCAGTTACCACAGCGGTCTTGATCATACTCATTAAATAATATCTCACAGTGAGTAAACGCACGCAAGACGACCCATGGGTCGAAGGTAGCAAGACGTGAGAGTAGGTGCTGGAGCAAACGACGCAAGGGGCGTACCAGCGATTGAGGTGAGGAGCAGCGCGTAGCCGGAGGCGGCGGTCCAGCCGTGGCCGGGGGCGTGGTTGCGGAAGCAGCCGATGACGAGGAAGAGGAAGAAGAGCTCGAGCAGGAAGAAGGTGACGAAGGCGACCTTGGAGAGCAGCAGCGTCAGGAACGTCATGTACGTGTTGAACACCAGAAACGCCGTCAGGAACCACCCCAGCGCCTTCATCGTCTCGAACCCCGCCGGCGCCTGCACCAACGGAATCGCGCGGCGAAAGCGAAATCATGAGGAAACGCGGGAAGTGCGGGAGATTCTACGAGTATTTTTTTTCTATTGATAGCAGGTTTGGGAGGGCTGGCGTGGCTTACGAGGCCGAGTTTGTCGAGCAGCATGAGCATGGCGACGGCCATCCAGTAGCAGCCGTAGGAGGAGTAGGAGGTGGCGACGAAGACGTTGCCGCGCTTGAACTCCCACATGCCCGCCACGAACTGACCCACGCCGCCGTAAAACACGGCCAGCCCGATCCAGATCACGTCGGGTGCCCAATCTGCAAGGCCAAGGCGCACGGAAGGTCAGACTATGAAATGAGTCGCGATTCGGGAAAGGCATATGACGAGTAAGCAGCGCAATTGAAATGTGGTGCGTTTATTTCTGCGAAGCCGCTTACTTGTGAGATGAACGGCGAGGACGAAGGTGGTAACGAAGAAGGACGAGAGTCCATGCGGGCCGACTTCGGCGACGAGCTCCTTCTCGACTGCGATGCGCACATTGTCAACTTTTGACTCGGCCATGGCTGGAAAAAGATGAAACGAGGTCGCTGCTGGTTCGGACTGAGCTGAGAGCACTTGTCGATGGAGCGAGAGCAGAAGGCAACAGTTGTTGGCACGTGAAAGTGAGATTGAATTATGAAATGGAAGTTGAGTACGCGAGGAGAAATACTCGCTCTTGGTGGGAGAGGAGACGCGCTGGGAGGGGAAGTTGGAGGAGATTGGGGTGGAAGGGGCGGAACGGGGAAGCGCTGCGCATTGAAGCTTGTTTGAGCTCCGCAGTCGCGGAGGACCCCGTACGTACCTGGCTCGGATCGCGCCCTGCCATCTCCTTCAGATTTGGAGCGGACCGCGTTTTTGATATCCAGCATGACAGATATTTGTGCCGCATTGGACTTTGGAAAGTCGTTTAATGACGAATCACGTGGTTGCGGCTCCATCTATCACGATGAGACGCCTTGCTGACTCAAGAAAGGCCAGGCAAAAAGCCAATAAGAATGCACGATGCCTTAGCCACGAGTACTTTTTCTTCCCAAAGTTGATCACGTGTCCCAAAAGTTTTGCCACGGTGGCTCCGCCGGAAAAAATGTTGCTGATTTGGAGGACAGCTCGACAAACTCTCACGCGTCGCGTTTCGCTGGACGTGACGTGACGAATGCGCGGTGGCGCACGTGAGAGAAACATTTTCCGCCAAAGCGCTCAGCTCTCAGATCCCCCAACCCGGCAAACCTTTCCTCTGTGCTTCCCCCTTTCACTTCCCTTGTGCACCCCATTTCCGCCTTTGCGATTCCACTTTCCCCTACGCATCTGGCTCCCTCTCCCCTCCTCACTACATATCCGCGCTGCTCATTCGACTTGCATTCCATTGCAACCATTCCTTCGACCACGAAAGCATCCCTCACTGCTTCTACTTCATCAATTCTAGCCTCGACGCCGCTCGGATCTCCAGCAACTACTAGCGCCAACAAGACTTCAAGTCATATCGCCAGCATGGGTCTCGAGGACGGGCTTTCCGATGACGTGCGTGTGATCACCGAGAAGTCGCTACCAGCCGACGCCTCCTCCTTCGGCCTGGGAGCCTTCGCCGGCACAATGTTCATCCTCTCCTCCTACCTCGCCGGTCAGTGCTTAGTCTCCCACTACGCGCATTGCGCAGCTTTCAATTTCGGCCCTGACCTTGAATTATCAACGCTTTTCATCGACGCATTCCCGTGCTGTGACTCGCGCAGGGTGGGCGCCCGACTTGACGTGGGTGACGGTGGCGCTGTTCTACGGCGGCTTGGGGCAGTTCGTGGCGGGCATGTGGCAGTACAAGCGCAACTGCGTCTTCTCCTCCACCTCCTTCTCCTCCTACGGCTGTTTCTGGATGTCGCTCGGCCTCTTCTACTGCTTCAAGCTCTGGAAATGGGTCAGTCCACTGCCACTGGCCCGCCCACAAGTCCCGCCGCTCCCTACATTTATGTTTCGTTGAAGTGCAACCCGTTTTCAACGTCCGGCTCGCCTGCTTCGCTTCATATCTGTTCTTCTGCTGAACATTGTCGCGCTCTTCTCCCCGCGCTTTCCGCGCATTGCAGGTGCCGGCGGACTACGACGTGGCGGGCGCGGAGGCGTGGTTCCTGGTGGCGTTCTTCCTGTTCAACACGTACATGCTGGCGGCGGCGTTCACGCTGTCCGTGGTGAACGTGGTGGTGTTCGGCCTGTACGAGCTCACGCTCGTCTGCCTCATCATCGGCGACTTCCTCAAGCAACCCGTCGACGGCGGCGCCTCCTGGATCACCGCCGGCGGCTACATCGGCGTCTTCACCTCCGTCTCGGGTAAGCCCCGCGAAAAGAGGCGCGGGTTTTGCGCACTCGTGGAAAGATGAACTGCATTTGCGTCGATCGGTTCCGACCAATGTGTTTCTGGATGATGCATTTCCGAGGATGAAAACGCGGGTGGCTAATAATGATTCTCCGTGCCTCCCCGTGTGGCTCTGGTGCGCGTGCAGCGTGGTACGCGTCGTTCGCGGTGCTCTTCAACGGCATGGTCGATCGCGAGATCATGTACCTCGGCAAGCCGCTCATCAACATCAAGGGCGACTAGATGCGCACACGCCATGACAGATATAAGAGATCCTGGTCGCGCGGAAGCGCTTCGCGAGCTTGTTTTGAGATGCTGTGTGCATCAGTTCGGCCATAGAGTCCAATTAGATAAGTGCAAGGATGTATTGCCTCTGCTGGGCAGGTAGGCTGGTTAAAAATAAGAGTTTATGGTGCCCATGTTTACTAATGTATTGGTGCTAGTTGTGTAGGCTGTCTGTAACCACCTACAGAATGTAATTGTGTGTCGGATCAAACCAGTGTGTGCTCTCATGGGCCACTCTCCTGCCCCTCCCACCGAAAAATTACAATGATGTCCTCTCATTTCTTCAAATTATACAGATACTCAAAGTACAGGGAGGCAGCGGAATGAGTGATCCGGAGAAAGTGGGGATGGTGAGAAGAGGATAACAAAACAACCTCCAGGCCCCTCATCATGGAAGCCGCAAGCAAGAGGATAACACACACCTGGGCCCGCTGCTGCAAAGCCACCCTAACGGCTGGCAGCCGTAAGTGAACCAAGCAAATTCGCCGAGAACCGACATTGCGCATTACATAAGTTACAAACCCATTACATACTGCAAAATTTTGTAATCAGGCGGATGGCCCGTTGCAAATCTCCGCCCGTGTCACCACAACGTACGAGTACAATGTTCTCGACTGGACTGACTGTTGAAGGCCCATGCTGCACATCACCTTTACATACGGTAGCTTGAGCCATGCACGCCCTCAATCAAGAACCGTAACAAGCATATAAAACTCGGTCATGGCACAGAAAGCAACCAGCACCACTCCGGGTGGTGAACGCCTCAGGAGGTTGGATCGTGCACCTGCCACACGTCGGTTCAACCTTCAGGGAGGAGAGGAGGGGGAGAGATGGTGTGGTGGGGAGCGAACGAAATGGAGTGCGGGAGGGAGAGGGGCGGGTGAGGTGCGAAATGCGGTGGGGTGAGAAAGGTGTGCTCCCTGTTGCAAGCCGACGTTTGTGAGGTTGTGTGTGGAGAGGACAGGTGTGGGAATGGCTTTTGTGGCCAGTTTTTTTTTAGGGCAGGGGAGAGAACGACGAGAGGTGGTGACAGCAGGTAGTGTGCACGGGGAGACACAGAGAGGTGTCTAAGTCGTGGAGAGAGCGCAGGCAAATGGAAAGCGCAAGAACAGGCGATCCAGGCAGTAGAGCAAGAGGGGCAGTGCAACTGGTAACTTCACCATACCCCTACGGGAACCTGAGGGGTTTAAAGCTCAAGGCCCAAATTGTTCAACCTTAGTAAGGCACAGAAGTTGAGAAGGTGCTCACAGAAGTTGTTGGGGTGTTGTGAGCGAGGGATGTTACACTTTCGCCCAACCCATCACTACAATTTCAAAGGGGGGACTTCGTGTTTGGTTTCCTAAGTCCCAAGTTGCAAGAGCGTAGGTTCTCAAGTTTCCGAACTCCAAGCCATCAAGATTACTAAACATACCCCGCGCGGTCCGCAATTTGAACCTTGAGCTTTAACCTGAGGGGGTTGTAAAGCTTTAAGGGGGACCTGAACCTGACATGAGGGCTTTACCTGCAGCAGTGGGGAGTCTGTAGCTTGTGAGGTGGTCCTTAAACAGTTGTACCTTTTCAAGAGCGAGGCAGAAGCACGAGCAAAACGGAAGAGTCCGAACATGAAGCCCCGTGTCTTTCAAACTTCTCCCTGAAACCCATCCGAACCACGGCTGCCCGTCACACCCCGCCAGGAAATTCACATCATCTGCCTGCGACCCCAGAGCAAATAGGTTCGGCACCTGTGTAAGGAGTAGGGAGAGAAGGGAAAAAACAGAAGGGATCCGGGGGTGGGAGGGGGAGGAAAGAGAGAGGGGGAGAGTATCAGGTTAGAACCAGTTGAAGAAGCAGATGAAGGAGGGGTAGGGGTAGAAAAGGAAACAGAACCGGGAGGGAGAGGGGGGTGATTTGACTAGTGAGACGCCGGTAAGAGAGGCAGGGCGGCACAGGAGGTAAAGAGAAGAGAAACAACGAGGGAGAGGGGGAGGCGGGGTGGGGTGGAGATTGCAGAGCATGTGGGTCCCCGCTCACCTGCCCCATGAGCCACATCACAATGCCCGCGCCATCCACCCCACCATGACCAGATACCGCTGGAGCAATGACGCATCCGTCCCCCACTGACGCATCGTCCCCCACTGACGCATCGTCCCCCACTGGCGCATCGTCCCCCACTGGCGCATCGTCCCCCACTGGCGCATCGTCCCCCACTGGCGCATCGTCCCCCACTGGCGCATCGTCCCCCACTGGCGCATCGTCCCCCACTGGCGCATCGTCCCCCACTGGCGCATCGTCCCCCACTGGCGCATCGTCCCCCACTGGCGCATCGTCCCCCACTGCCACGCCCCTGACCGCCGCTGCTGTGAGGCCCGCAGGGCGACCGACACACGGACACTGGCGGGGATCTCTCGCTCTGGTGGGCGGAAGGAAGGGGGGGGAGGGGGATGAAGGACCAAGTGACGGAAACAGCAGGGAAGGGTGGGAGGACGAGGGGACAGAGGGATGGAATATGTGAGGCGCGTCGAGCCCTGGTGGGAGGAGAGGGGAAAGTGGAAGGGAGGAAGGGAACGGAAAGTTTCCGAATCCGCAGGGAATGTGGAAGGCAAGGTACAGCACGGGATGAAGTTGAGAGGCTAATGGTAATGGATGAAAGCATATGGGCGTAAAGGAGTGCACATGAACGCATAAGGCCGTATAGGAGCGTATAGGAGCGTATAGGAGCATAGGTGTGATGGTAAGAAGATTGGCGATCATTTGTGCTGACACGAGACCACAGGCACGAATTGACTTAACGCCCCATTCAGCGCCTCCTAGATGCCCTGTCGCAGGGGAACGGCGTGCGCGGGGCGGGTAACCAGCGGCCCCACGTGCCATTCCTTGGTCGGCGGCGCCGCTGTCCCGCCAGCACTCGCTGGCCCACGAAGACTGCTTCCCCTGCTGCAGTGGCGGCAGCGGCGGCTGTCGTGTGTCCCCGTGGTCATGACGCGATCGGACGGTAAGCCTGGGCGCTAGCGGTTGGTTGGGGCGGGATGCGCGCAAGAGGAATCGCACAGCCTGTGCGCCTGGCAGTGGCGGAAGTAACGGGTGTAACCAGGGGCGCCGGGACGAGGGGGACGGGGAGGTGCGCCTGCGGTGACGGTGTCGCACCCACGGTCGCGCCGCACTAGTTCGTGCGATGATGCTGAGACGGAACGAGCGAAGCGGCGGGCAAGCGACGACGAGAAGTCGTGGAAGGAAGATCTAGTCATGGCGATACATTGTGCGATGCGTTGCTCGTAGGGACTGGGAAAGATAGACGCCTGCTCATGGGGACGTGCAGCGGGATGAGAGGGGGGTAACGGACATGGCTGGAATATTGTGTTGGAGAATCGAGATTCTGCCGCCCCAGCCCTTTGCACACAAGGAGCAGCAAGGGGGGAATGTCGGCGATGGATTGAAGGCTTCGCGAAATATCGGAAAGTTTCCCAACCAATCAGATTTCAGCCGAAGACTCGATACAGTTCAGAGCTGCCTCCAAACCGAAGTGTTGGGAGTTTCTACAGGTTTCTACACATCAGAATCAGCTATAACAGAAAAATCCAGAGATTTCTTATTCATGCACCTCATGTGGCTCTCAAGTCACTCAAGGTTCATGGAAGCTGGATTGTGACCAAGTTCCCAAGGAAGTTGCCTTGTCTAGCAACCTAGTTTGAGCTACCTAACTGCCTTGTTTGTGATGTTTAAGAAGGTGTGCTTTAGTGGGCTTGTACAACCTTGATCATAGTGAAGTTTTACCTCATCCAGTCAGCCCCGTGCATTGCGTCCGCCTGTACCTGCCGCCAGGGTTTAGGGTTTACCCTGTCTTTTTCTTGCCTGCCTTGCGCCTCTACCGTCTGCCTTGCGCACCTGCCTGCTACAGTTGCCTGCTGCCTGAACCTGCAGCCTTTGCCTGCTGCCTGAGCCTGCTGCCTGAGCCTGCTACTTTTGCCTGCGCTGCAACCATGGCGACCCTTACTGTTCTCGCCTTTGAGCCTGACGGCCGCCCCATCGAGTTTGACACCTGGCTTAGTGATCTGCGGCTTTACCTTATGACTGACGTCGCAGACGGAGTATCACTACTAGCCTATGTCACTGGCACTGTCCCTACTCCCGCTGAGACTGCTCCTGCCCCTGAACGAGCACAGTGGGAGCTCCGCGACGCAGTCGCGCGCCTTGTTATTCGCAATCACCTACCGATCTCTGAGCGCGCGCATTTCAACCAGCTTAAGACTGCTAAGACGCTGTATGATGCTGTCGTTGCCCGCTATTCCGCCCCGGCCACAGCCACCGTTGGTAGTCTCATCCTGCCTTACCTGTTCCCAGACTTAGCCTCGTTTCACACTGCTGCCGACCTTATCACTCACCTCCGCGCTAGTGACGCCCGCTTTCGAGCCGCTCTTACCGACGAGTTCCTCGCCACGAACACCCCCCCGCTGTACTTCACCCTCTACATCCTCGTCACCCGCCTCCCTGACACTCTTCGCTCTGTCAGGGATCACTTCCTTGCCAAGGATCCTCCAACTATCACTCTGGACGACTTCGAGCAGCAGCTGGTCGCAGCAGAGAAGAACATCCTCGCTGTCGGTGCTGCTCGTGGCACTCCCCGCACTCCCCTCTTTGAGGGGTGCTCCCCCTCCCCTCTTGACCCCTCCTACGCCTCTGCTGCTACTGCTGTCGACTTCCTCGGTGCGGAGAAGGTCGCAGCGGCTTCCGCTCCTGGTGGGAAGCGTGGTGGTGGCAGGGGCGGCAAGGGTGGCAGGGGTGGCGGAGGTGGCGGTGGAGGGAGCGGTGGTGGAGGCGGCGGGGGTGGTGGAGGTGGTGGGGGTGGACGTGGGGGTGGAGGCGGTGGGTGGGGTGGCGGCAGGACCGGGGGCGGTGGAGGCGGCGGCGGCGGTGGTGGGGGAGGAGGCAGCGGCAGTGGCGGTGGAGGTGGGAGTGGGGGTGGATCTGGCCAGAAGGGTGGCCCCACTGGTGGCCAGCAGCAGCAGCAGCAGCAGCAGCAGCAGCAGCAGCAGCAGCAGCAGCAGCCACAGCAGCAGCAGCAGCTTCCTCCCCTCACCTCCCAGCAGCTCAATGACTGGTATGCTGGGCGTGGGGCGTCTCGGGGTTCTGACCGCTGCCCCTATGTCATTCGTACTGGCCCCCGCAAGGGTCGCCCCTGCAACGGTTTTCACACTGAGTATCGTTGTTCGCTAGGCTTAGTGACGCCTGGCGTGCCAAGTATCCTGATGCTACTGAGTTCCCCAACTGGGCCGAGCTGCTTAGGCGTGATGTGCCTATCTTTGATCTGGACTATGATGTTATTCTTGCTGCCATGTATGCATTGACTGTTAGTGCTGAGGGTGACTGTTACTTGTGTGTGCCGCCTGATCCTGGTATTGACCCCGGTATAAGGGCTGCAGCCCTAGGTGCTAGTGAGTCTGCTCCCCTTGGTACTGAGTCGACTCAGGCCTTGCACACGTTTACACTTGACTCTGGTGCTTCCCGCTGTTTCTTTCGCGATAGCACCACCGTCACTCCCCTCCCTGCACCTGTCCCTGTCTCACTGGCTGACCCCTCTGGGGGCCCAGTGCTTGCACGAGCCACGACTGTGCTCCCGTGCCCGGCGGTCCCGTCTGGTGAGCTGTCAGGTCTCCACGTTCCCTCGTTCTCTACGAACCTGGTGAGCAACGCCGTCCTCCAGGATCACTGGGTTGACACCTGGACTCCTGGAGGGCAGCGTGTGGCGATCTGCACGTGCTCCAAGACTGGCCGCCACCTGGCCACGTTCACTCGTGAGCCGGGGTCTAGTCTGTACACCCTCACCACTGTTTCACGCTACACTCCTTTGTCTCCTCAGCTGTACGCGTCTGCTCAGGTAGCTACCCAGTGTGAGTGCCGCCGCCTGTCGCACGACACGCTTCTGTGGCACCACCGCCTTGGTCACCCCTCCCTTCCTCGCCTTCGTGGCATGCACTCTCGCTCCCTGGTCTCTGGGCTTCCCAGGTCTCTGCCTGCCCTCCCTCCCTCGCCTGCGCCGCCCTGCATTCCCTGCGTCGAGGGGCGGCAGCGCGCCGCTCCTCACTCCTCCTCGTTTCCTCCCACAGAGGCTCCCCTGCAGACGCTCCACCTGGACGTGTGGGGCCCAGCCCGCGTCCAGGGCCAGGGCGGTGAGCGGTACTTTTTACTGGTTGTCGACGACTACACGCGTTACACCACAGTCTTCCCCTTGCGCAGCAAGGGGGACGTCCCTGCTGTTTTGATCCCCTGGATCCGCGCTGTGCGTCTCCAGCTCCGCGAGCGGTTCGAGCGGGACTTCCCTGTCCTGCGTCTGCACTCTGACAGAGGTGGTGAGTTCTCCTCTGACCTCTTGGCAGCCTTCTGTGCGGAGCACGGCATCACCCAGTCGTTCACGCTTCCAGCCTCTCCGCAGCAGAATGGGGTTGCTGAGCGCCGCATTGGCTTAGTCATGGAGGTCGCTCGTACCTCCATGATCCATGCGGCGGCTCCCCATTTTCTGTGGCCGTTCGCGGTCCTGTACGCCGCGCATCAGCTCAACCTCTGGCCCCGTGTCTCCTTGCCGGAGACCTCGCCCACACTGTTGTGGACGGGGGAGGTTGGCGATGTGTCGCGTTTCCGGGTCTGGGGTGCTCGTGCCTTTGTCCGCGATCTCACCGCGGACAAGCTCTCTGCTCGCGCCATTCCCTGCGTCTTCCTTGGTTTTCCTCCTGACGCGCCTGGCTGGCAGTTTTACGACCCCACCTCGCGCCGTGTCTTTGCGTCTCAGGACGTCACCTTTGACGAGTCTGTTCCCTTCTACCGTCTCTTTCCCTACCGCACTGCCTCTCGCCCCCCCCCGCCGCTCTTTCTCGCTCCAGGTCCTCCCCAGGTAGACCCCCTCCCCGCGCCAGGTCCTGCTCCTTCAGGTGTTTCTCAGGTAGACCCTCCGGTACCTGCGCCTGTTGAGGTCACTGGTGACTCAGGTCCTGCTGGAGGTGGTCCTGCTCGGGGTGCTGTCTCTGGGGGTGCTGAGCCTGGGGGTGCGGAGCCTGAGCGAGAGGCGCCTAGAGGTGCTGAGCCTGGGGGTGCGGAGTCTGGGGGTGCTGTGCCTGCGCGTGAGGAGCCTGGAGGTGCTGAGCTTGGGGGTGTCGAGTCTGAGGGTGCGGAGCCTGCGCGAGAGGAGCCTGGAGGTGCTGAGCCTAGGGGTGCGGAGTCTGGGGGTGCTGTGCCTGCGCGTGAGGAGCCTGGAGGTGCTGAGCTTGGGGGTGCCGAGTCTGCGGGTACTGAGCCTACGCGTGAGGAGCCTGGAGGTGCTGGCGCTGGAGGTTCTGGAGCAGTTGGGGGTGCTGGCGCTGAGGGTTCTGAGTCTGCTGTTGCGCGGTCTCCTTGGAGTAGCCGCCTTCGTCCACGTGTGCCTCTCACCTCACAGCAGCTGCAGGACCGGTACGGTCGCCGTCAGGGTCGCGCTGCTGGAGCCCGGGGCTCTACTGCTGGAGTCGCTGGTTCCGGAGGTGCTCGTCCTGGGGGTACTGGAGCTGCTGGGGCTTGGGGTGCTGGTTCTGGGGGTGCTGCTGCTGGAGACACTGAGGTTGGAGACCCTGGGACTGGAGGTGTCGGTTCTGGGACTGGAGCTGCTGGAGGTGCTGGAGCTGCTGGAGGTACTGGAGCTGCTGGAGCTGCCAGTACTGGCGCAGCTGCGCTGACACGACTGTTCTTCGCTCCGCCGT